TTGGTGTTGGAAAAAAATCCAACTATATTTGGTTGATTTGATTTCAACTAAAAATATCAATTCGAGACCAAACCAACCCTACATTATATATATAATTTTAAAATTTTATTAGATACGTAAATATACTTATTTATACATAGCTCCGCCCCCTCTCTATATATATGTGTGTGGGGAGTATTATCTTATCCAATAATTCTAAAATGGGAATTAAGCAATAATTATGATTTAAGAAAGCTACGTAAAGCTGATCATACACTTTAATTTTTTGTTTTCTCTTTGCCAACTAATCACACGAATGTTTAAAAGAAAAAACAAATAAAATCCAGCTAATAAACTTTAATTTAATAGCTGCTTTTGTGTATTTTGTTTTTAACTAAAAAAGGGACTTTTTTCGTGTTCGAAAGCTTTATCATATGAAAGGAATTATAATAGAGAAATGTTACAAGTAGTGGTCGACCACAAGTTCATAACTCAATGTTTTTAATATAGAATATACTTATATATGTGATGAATTATTAAAAACTTAATAAATATAAGATATTAACACTATATAAAACTATGAATTATATGGAGATTTCTTGTGGGATTAGTATGAAAATTTACAATAAATTAATTTTCCTATAAATTTTCGTACTAATTCCTAGAAAATTCTACATTTTTTTATAGTTTTCTTATACTGAAACACATAGCTTCAAAAATATAAGAAATTAAACGTTAGAAATCTTAAAAATTAAAGTGTACTTTTACCAAGTAATAAAGTAGGTAGCAAACCGTGTTGTTCAAAACAGGTTTCAAACTAATAATAACAAATTTACACATTTTAATATTTCCTTCTCATAATGTTAACAAGTGTAGGTTAAGAAGTACTATCTAGTAAACTAATACTATGTCCTACACACTCTCTCTTAACAGTTTATTTATAACCATTAGTACTAATCGTAATAATATAATATTGATAAAATTGTATGAAAAATATTTTAATTTTGATTAAAATTATTGTTACGATTATTAAATTATTTAATAGTGTATTTTAAAGATATATATGTGTCCATCACTATAAGAAAACTGTGAATTCCATGGGAATTTTGGCGATTTTTCTTGGGATTAATATGAAAAATTCGTAAGAAACTTATTTTTCTGCAAATTTCCATACAAATTCACAGAAAAATCCTTGTGTAATTCAAAGTTTTCTTAAAATGCACGTAGGCACATTATTATTTATAATTATGCAATATTTTCTATATTCACGTGGCCACGTATATACCTTTAAAATATATTATTAAATAATATAAAAAATTAAAAAAAATAAAATTTAATATTGTAATAACTATTTCGATCAATGTTCGAATATATTTTAAATCCTCCATCCCTATATATATGTAGTGTGTCGTTTCTACCCCAAAATAACAAAAAGAAAAGAAAAGAAAAGAGGAGCTTATGCTAGAATCTTTTTCTTTATTATAAATAATAATTGACATATACTGTAGAAAAGATGATTGAACATTTGTAGGTCCATTATATATTGACTAGAAAAATGAAAGAAGTGATTTATTAAAGTATTATTAGTTAATTATTCAGCTTCCAAATTAATTCTGACAAAAAAAATTAAAGATTCTTCCAAACTCAAATTTTATTTTAATTTTTTTGGTACACCAAATCTCCAAAATATAGAATGCAGAGCAAGTCAAAATCTTCCATGTACCATGGCATGTGGATCTTGCACCGTATCCATTTAATTCTCACACGTTTACAACACTTCCAATTTAATTTAAAACTTTTTTTTCGAATATTCTCGTCATTCATTTTTATTTATCATATTTTAATTGAATAGACATACTAAAAAATAATTGATATAACATTTTTATTAATTAACGTTTAATATTAGATACTGAAAAATAATTTAAGAAATAAGTAGTTAATACAAAGTGAAAAATATGAAAAGAACGATTATTTATTCTTAAAATATGCTAAAAATGATAAATAAAAATAAAAATTTATTTTTAAAATAACAAATCAATAAAAATATGAAAAGAACGATTATTTATGAAAAGAACGATTATTTATTCTTAAAATATGCTAAAAATGATAAATAAAAATAAAAATTTATTTTTAAAATAACAAATCAATAAAAATAAATGAAAGAAGAATTAAAAAACTCAAACTCAGAAAGAAAGGTTAAATTTGTTCATCAATCGTCAAAAAATTGGAACTTGTCTCGCATTAATCTATAATGAAATAATATGTGGCATCATCGATAGCAACCTTTTACAATTCAAAAATTTTATTTTACTATGACTACAATTATTAATAAAATTAAATTTGTTATATTTCACATAAAAAAAATTTATGTAATAAGTAAAAATATACTATTTATTTATTTATCATAATTATGATCGTAAGTAATTATCATTCGCCATTAATATTTTATCCGATTTATTATAACCACTTCTCAATTTGTATATCTAAATTCCAACATATACTATCATATTTTTTGTTTCCCCCCATTATACAAAGTAGCTATGTATCTCTCATCCTAATATTTTTATTAATTTTTCTCCTTAATTCACTCAAGCACAATTAAATTTTAAATTTCAAAATTTTGTGTCTCCCTCTCTAATTTTGGGCGATTATTTATTTATTTATTATATTTATTTTGTCATATTTCATTGATTTCTTTAGTTTTCAGCTATCTCCATAGCTACATACAAAATCATAGATGAACAAACTCATTTTAAAAAAATTACTTGAGGTATATAAATACATATCTAAAGTTTAGACGATTTTTATATTTTTCTTTGAGCCTAACTTAAGATTTTTTAGAAATTGCAATATCTCTTACTAAATCTTAAATTAATTAACAATAGTTAGATCCAAGCACCACACTAGCCTAATGAAGATGCAACAACTTATGCATATTTTTAAAACATCTCAAGAAGAAAATGTTGAATTTGGGTCAATGGACCAAAGATGACACGAAGAATTTGAGGTATATGTATAATTTATTTTGTGTATTTTTTATGATATATATCTATATTAATACATTTCATATTATGTTATATACAATTGTATGGATTTAGCGTATCAATGTTTATTGTGATTTTTTAAAAAGACCTTTTTAGACCCTGTTTCTACGTCAACAATTATACACATTTAATTTTTTTGTATTTATATGTTATCAGCAAGTATACATTTCAACGATTATTTGTAAAGCTTTAACGTTAGTATACATTCTCTTATTTGTATATTTCAATCAATTGTGTGATGTTTGATGCAACTATATCTCTGTTAATGATGTTTATATATTTATTAAGTCATTTTTTGACATGTTTATTTAGGAAGCTAATTTTAGTTTAGGAAATGTTCATATTTGCCAAGAAATTATTACCAAATCAATAACTATGATTCGTGGGATTATTTTCTATTTTAATAATTTAAATACCGCCTCATTAATTAAGTTAAGAGTTTAATTTGTAGAAAAAATTAATCTACAACGAGATATACGAAGCATAACTATACTACGTAATTAGACAAATTATAACTAATAAAAGCTCATTATATTTCAGCTCTTAGCTATTTATAAAATTTCATATTCACATAATTTGAGTTGATTTCACCATTTTACTATTATGTAGTAATAAAAATAATGGGATAGTAATATTTATAATTTATTTGACCCTTTCTAGAAAGAAAGTAAATAAAAAAATAATGTCATAGTAATATTTAGTTGACCCATTCTAGAAAGTCAAGAGCTTTTGAGTAGAAACGCTTAATTTAGCTGACAAATTAATTGAATTCGACAAACTTTTACTTTATTTTTTTTTTCTGTCAAACGTAATTTACAAGATTTTAATGAAGAAAAATACAACGTTATATGTTGGAGCAATTTAGAAAGTATAATTAATATGATGATATTAACAAGGAGTAAAAATTTGTGAAAAATAAAGATTTTTGTTATCAAAATTGATAAGTTTTTTCCTAACATCTTTTAATTATAATTAAAAAAAACTTGTTAAATATCACTTATGAAAATAAAAAATCAATTGTCAACATATTTTAATTATTATATGTTGTCAAATGTCATAAGTGATTGTTCTTTTCCCATTTCAATTTTCCTTTTTGATGAGACAAATTGACGCGATCATCGCCTCATAATCTCACCACCCACTCACGCTGTTATAATGGTTCACACCTTAATTCACTCTTCAAACATATATAAAATATATATACACATTATTCTACATTTGGGTATAAGATTAAAAATTATTTGTTTGTCTAAAAAATAATGAGTTGTTTCCCTTTTTTTTATAATATATTAACTTTAACTTTCCACTTGACATAGGTTAAGGCACAAGACTAAAGACATATTTTGATATATTTGACATAACTTTAATTTACAATCATAAAATTAAAAAATTTATTCCCTCTATCCCTAATTACGTGTCCACTTTTAAATTCACACACCTATTAAGAAAGCAGTTTATTGACATATGAGTTTATCATTTTACCCATATTAATTACAAAGTAGATGAATTAAAAATTTAAGATTTTCAAAAAATTCAACCTTTTTCAAAGTATTTAGTTGAGGATATAATAGATAATAATATTTAGTCCTTTCTTGATTTGTTCAAATAAGCATATAATTAGGGACAACTAAAAAAGGAAAAATTGACAAGAAATTAGGGACAAAGGGAATACTTTTTATTCTTCTTAAATTTCGTTTCAAGTCAAATTAGGTCGTTCTTTATTAAACAAGTGAAATAATAATTTTAGAAATAAAATATAAAATTATTTTATCTTATATTTGATTGAAGAGACTAGATTATTCATTTCACCATTTATAATTTTATATTAATATAACTTATCTCTTAATAATTAGTTCTAAAATGACTTGTTACTAAACTAAACAATTAGGATAAATTTATTTCCAATTTAATAAAGTTAAAGGTTCAATTTTGCCCTTTTGAGTCAACGACAAGAGCAATAAATTTAGATCATTTATAACTTCAAGAACATATATAGAAATTACTGGGTTTAAACCCATTGTCCATCTCCCCTAATCCTCATTTAGCATTACAAAAACAACCTTAATCTTTAACCGTTGACTTCTTTTATTGGCCTATGTGAGTACATTACATAAATATTGTCTTAAAAAGATTATTAATGGAAAAATCTATATATGGAGTATATAAGTAGTTGTCCATTTTAATTAAGGAAGGTCTTTGTCATTAGTCATTTAATTTACATACATCTATGTACTAGCAACTGGGAATATCAGTTTTCTTCTTTTGAATTAGTAGTGCAAATAAATGCATGCATTTAATGCATCTTAATAAGTGTTCAAACCAATTTTCCTGACCAGATTATTAGATAGATATCTATTGATTTTAAAAATAATTTTTTTTTTTGCTTTCTCTGCATCTGAAAGTTCAAGATTTTGTGTGAGTGGTGGTGGCAATGGCTGGTGGGGGTGATGGTACATCAAGACAGCTTGATCAGACACCTACTTGGGCTGTTGCTGGTGTTTGTGCAGTTATTATTCTCATTTCTATTGCTTTGGAGAAGATTATCCATAAACTTGGCACAGTATGGAACTTAAAAATCTAGTCTTTTTACATTATTGTTCTTTAATATTACTTTTTCTTGAATGTGGGTTTCTAATTCTTGATTAATCTTGGATTTTAGTTTACAATTTCTCTATTTTGCTCACTTAAAGATCTATCTCCTTGCCAGCAGCATTGCTATAGGAAATTCCATTTCTTGTTTCTTGGTTTTGGTGTTGAGGATTTTGCTGTTATGTATGTTTGTTGTTTGACTCTTAGATTCTAATGTCAAGACTATACCTTTTTGTTACTGGAGACTGGAAAATGTTCTTGACTGCTTAGATACTGATTACCAAAAGATGGGTTGTGTTTGTCTATGGTTTTATACCTTTGTTTTGTAATCCCTAGCCCCTTTCCTTTTGTTCTTCCTGTTTTGCTAGTATCCTTTTCCAGCTTTTGAGGTGTTTTATAGTGTTTGAATTTACTATCTTGTTCTTTTCTGTTACTTTACCCCCAAAAGAAATGTGCCTTTTCTTTTGGTTGGGGAGAATTTTGCACCTCCAAGTTCTTTACTCAAATTGGATTCTTTGAAATTATGGCTATGCGATTGATGCCATTAGTCTGTTCCTTTCTGGGTATATATTTTCTACCTTAATCGCCATTTTCTGCTTCTGTTTGAGTTTTTTGATCATTAAACAAATAAGGTTAGAGGGAAAAGGGGGTTTTATTGCCTGTGTTATGCTGTGTGAACTGAACCTTCCCTTTCATCCAGCAAAAACTGTATTTCCTAATGATATATTATGTTGAGGATATCTACTTGGAGTTCTTTCCTCATCCTTTAATTGGAATGTTTGGGCTTGCCTTTTCTTTGTCTGGGAGCATTTTGAAGTACACAGACGTTACATGATTTCTACCAATTTATGTTGATTGTTGGAATTCCATGTGATTTCACTTAGTTTATTGCTGCCGTGGAACTTAATTTCACTAACATTTACTTACAGAATGAAAATCTTTTTGCAGTGGCTCACAGAGAGGCATAAGAAAGCTCTATTTGAGGCTTTGGAAAAGATTAAGGCTGGTAATTTTTTGTGCTCTCAACTTGTTATCATTTTACCTTAAGAATTCTAGTTTTCTGCATGCATTAATGGCCTCTTCTCTCTAAATGTTGCAGAGTTGATGGTTCTTGGTTTTATCTCATTAACCCTTGTGTTCAGCCAGTATTATATTGCTGGAATCTGTATCCCCACGGATGTGGCTAACACTCTGCTCCCTTGCCCTGCTGTTCACAAAGAGGATAAAACGGAGGAACATCGCAGGAGGCTTTTATGGCATGAGCGCAGGATTTTGGCTGGTGCAGAGCCTAAATGTGATGATGTAAGTCATAAAGTTGTATATGGAGTACATAATAATAAATGTAATTGTATAAATATGTCGGATAGCAAAAATCACTTTGCAGAAGTTTTGCTTGTTCTAGTCAATTACCCTTTTCTTGAATTAATAGGTGGCAGACTAATTGTGTTTTTTAAACTGAGACAATCCGTTATCATGCATAAACCTTTAAAGATGTTTGTTGCATAAACGATCAGAGCTGTGAAGAAGAAGATGCAAATAAAATTACACTTCTCATTCCAGTATCTAGGCATATGGAAAGTAATTTTTATTGCATGCCTGTAGGCTGTAGCATGAAATTAAGTTTCTGCCTTCAACAAATGGTAAGCAACTTTTTTTTCTTCCAAATATGGAGAGTGCTTACAAATAAGATAACTAGTTCAACTCATACATTGGTTAGAAGGATCCATATTCTGGATACACCTAATATGGATAATTATTTAAAAGATCCACCTGATAATGATTGCCTTGCTCCAACTTATATACACTTTGGTAGTATGTTCCTCCATGGGAATCTTGTAGGGATGGGGGTATTAACCTCGGTATGTTAAAACTAGAGTGCTACATGTGCAATAAATGAGCAGCAAGTTGTGAGACAATAACTAAGTGGAAGTTTAGCCAGCTTGATTTCTTTGTATAACCTAGAATCCTTCATTTACTTATTGGATGACCCATTTAAAGAAAATGATGAGAGTGCTAGTCTTATTTGGTGTGAACCATGTGTTGTCGCTCAAGTTTTAGTGGTCTACAAAAGCTGTAGAAGACTTGTCTCACAGATTTTCTGCTTGTGTCTGCAGCAGGGACAAGTGAAACTGTGAAGCAGCACTTGCTATAGCAATATGGAAGGCTTTCTAGTTCAGCTATAATCTCCACCAGAATGAGAATTTGTGTCCTTTAAATATACTGTTAGCTATTGGTTAACCAGAAACATCACCCCGAGACGTTTTAGTAGTTTCCTGATGAGATTTTTCCATTCTATCAATAGCACCAGCACCATCTTAATGCTGGGTTTATGCCATTATTAATATATTTTCTTACATACTGATTGAGCATGCCATTCTCAAAAAAGACGATACATCCCATATAAGTGTTACTTTGGTTACATTTAGCTCAACTTACTAATTACCTTTGTGGTTTGGATCTTTGTCTAGTGCTTGCTCTGAATTTACTTTACTACAGCATGCTGGGCTGTCTTCATTAAACTAATTGGAGTAATGTAACAGGGACGAGTCTCTCTCATTTCTATCGACGCACTGCATCAGATACACATCCTTATCTTCTTTTTGGCGGTCCTTCATGTGATATACAGTGCTATCACTATGTGGCTGGGAAAACTTAAGGTAACTCGAAGTCTACTTTACATTAGTTACTGCAGTATACTTGTACTGCTGTGCCATTTGCGTGTGACTTTTTTGGAATATCAAGAGAAACTTCAGCAGGTATCCGTTTCTATATATTTTGGTGGTTTCTCTGGTCCATACCTTGAGCCCGTCAAAGAATTCAGTTGAGCTAGAAAATTTGGACAAACGTTCAATACTCGTTTGAGGTTCAAGCCATGCACCATGAGAACTAAACCTAGTATTTAAATAGAGAGAAGTAGTGGGGTGAGCCCATTATTGCCAAATTTTGGAGTCTGCAGTTGGTTCCAAGGGTTGGCCCCAGATAGAATTCTTGGTCAGCAAAAGAAAAAAAAAGAAAGACCCTAACTTAAGGATCATTGACCAGATACCAAAACTCATTTGTTACTGGGAGTGAAAACTGACCCTCCACAATAATCTGAAAGACTGGAACTCTGGATACTCAGTCAAGAACTTTATAAAAAGAATTGGTGATTCGGTCATGGTGGACTGATCATGGTTCAGGGTTTTGTTCTTTGTTGATATTCGTTACTCTCCATTTTAGATTTTAGAATGTCTAATGCTTGAAAGTATGTTCTTCAGATTCGTGGCTGGAAATGCTGGGAACAAGAGACCGCAACCCATGACTATGAGTTTTCAAATGGTATGTCTAAGTTTGCTGCACAATGGTGGAAATTTCTGATTTGCTTGTAAAACTATGTTCGTTGTCCTCGTTTCATTGCATTGGGAATTGACTATTTCTTACACGTAACTTTTAGATCCTTCAAGATTTAGGCTTACTCATGAGACATCATTTGTCAGAGCACATACTAGTTTCTGGACCAATATTCCAATCTTCTTTTACATTGTGAGTATGAGATATTGTTATTTTCATTCTCTATAAGAGTTGTGTTGTTCTTCAGCACATTGAAAAGAAGAGTGGAGGTCATTGAATGTTACAATCCTTTTCTACCAGGGATGTTTCTTCAGACAATTTTTCAGGTCCGTGAATAAGTCAGATTACTTGACCCTCCGCAATGGCTTTATCAGTGTGAGTTTCCTTTTCTGCTTGGTTCTGAAACTATTGTTAGTTCTTTTAGTTATTTTGGTGATACCTTTCTTCTCTGTTTTCCATAGAAGTTATAGATAACATTTCTCGTACAGGTTCATTTAGCTCCTGGAAGTAAATTTAACTTCCAAAAGTATATCAAAAGGTCATTAGAGGATGACTTCAAGGTAGTTGTTGGTGTCAGGTAGTGAGATGTGTTATTTTCTTTAGCTCAATCTTCCTATCAAACAAGAACTGTACTGGTGCAACCTATATCATGTCAACTGACTTATGTTTTCTACTGGCAGTCCAGTTTTGTGGGGATCATTTGTTGTTTTCTTGCTCCTAAATGTTAGTGGTAAGTCATATACTGCGATGGAAACATATTTGAGCAATTCTTTCATTTCTTCCATTTTACTTTCAGTAATCAAGTTCGTCACTTGACATTGATACAATTCTGAAACATTTGTTAAATTTCAGGGTGGCATGCATTGTTTTGGGCTTCCTTAATTCCTTTGATTGTAAGGTTTTATCTGCCTTGTCCACCTTCTTGATTCCGTTGCAGGGAATTCTGATGATTAATTTTTCTCAGATCATATTAGCTGTTGGAACACAGCTTCAGGCGGTGTTGACAAGAATGGCTCTTGACATCTCGGAGAGACATGCAGTAGTCCAGGGAATCCCTCTTGTTCAAGGCTCAGACAACTATTTTTGGTTTGGACGACCTCAGTTGGTTCTTCACCTCATCCATTTTGCCTTATTTCAGGTAGTACACATCCCTCTCAGATATATGTTATAAGCCAGTATTTGAAAATTAGATGACTGGAATATATTTCAGTTTCAGCGTTGCTGGTCCATCTATAGTGCCATAATTAATTGTATTCTAAAAGTTGCCTGAGCGACGAACGTACATGTGAATCTGATTATTCAATCCCACTTTAAAGACCTTTACCTTCAGATTGGCTTAAACCTCATCGCGACCTTTGAATCGAATAACAAGCAATAGTAAAAAGACGATGATTATCTTTTGCCTGTTTCTATGAATGATTTGTGCGAGATAATGTGTGGCTAACACTGCAAAGTAATTTTTAAATCTTGTGTGCTGCTTGGTGCATTGTATGTTGAGGAATTCTACTGGAAAATGAAAAGGAAGGGGAATAGTGCTGGGGTTTGGATTATAATAGTAGTTTGCTTTATCTGAATCTCCATCTATTTTTTGCAATTCTTGTCTCCATCTGTTTATAGACATAGCTTACAATAGTTTTCTCCTAACGTATATCTAATGGTAAGCTCTTATTTCAACTTGACAGAATGCGTTCCAAATAACATATTTCTTATGGATATGGGTAATGTTTCTTCCCCTTGTTTCAAACATCCAAAGATATTTCAGTTTTTTGAACCATGAAACTATTGACTGAAAAATCTTGATCTGATTACTTATTTTGCAGTATGAGTATGGGCTAAAATCTTGCTTCCATGACAAGTTTGGTTTTGTCATTGCGAAAATTGCTTTGGGGTAATGTTACTTGCAACAGAAAGTCACTTATTGGGTGGATTATATTACTCTACTGAATCTATTTTCCTGTCTCGTTACAGGGTGGGAGTTTTATTCTTATGCAGCTATATCACTCTTCCGCTCTATGCCCTTATTACTCAGGTACTTTTACCAAATACTCATTGGAAGTTCCCACGTGTCGTGGTTATCTCTTCTCCCCCCGCGCACCCCCAAATTAAAAGAATTAAATGTATGTAGGTTCTTTCCACACCATTTTGCTTTGGACAAGCACTTTGCTAGTATACAAGCAAACATATTGCAGGAAGACACATGACAAAAAATGTGCAATAGGAAACTACATGAACTTTTTCCGTACTAGAATAACAACTACTACGCCTCAATCCCAAGCAAGTTGGGGTCGGTTATATAAATCCACATTGTTCATGTCACTCCAATTAGGATCACCTCAGTCCAATATTATACATGAACTTTTTAGTGTTTTAGCGATAACTTGCTGTATTATACATGGCGAAATAGGCCTAATGGTAATAATGGGGATCATGCAGATGGGCTCCAACATGAAGAAATCCATTTTTGATGAACAAACCTCAAAGGCATTAAAGAAGTGGCATATGGCAGTGAAGAAGAAACAGGTAGCTAAGGGAGACAAATCCATACGGACACTAGGCAATGCAAGTCCAAGGTCCTCTGTGGGTTCACCTCTACACCCATCAATTGGTCCTACACTTCATCGGTTTAAAACAACCGGTCACTCGACACGTTTCAATGGCTACGATGATCTAGAAGCATCTGACCTCGAGAATGATCCAACTACACCGATAATCCGTGCAGAGGAACACTCAACTGCACATGTTACTGATCATGATGATACTGAACTTCAAGTGCATGTTCCTCAAAATGAAGAATCCTCCGGGAATGAAGACGACTTTTCGTTTGCGAAACCTGCTCCTAAAAGGTGAAAAAGAAGCAGGTAAACACATACATATGGTATCTGAATAGTGGCTTGCTTCTTCTCTTTATCTTGTGTTTATAGAGGAATGTGGTACAAAGTATAGTTAGCAATTTCATAGAGAAACATTGAACATATACATGATTAATTGTATCCACTACTATTGTTTGCCTTATAATACCACCTACAGTTTTGTTCCATAAATCTAGATTTAGCCATGAAGTTGTTGATCACACATGATCTCTTCGTATGTACGATTACAATTTGAATAGAAGAAAATGAACTTTCGTTTTTATTTTTAAGGCTACATTAATAATTCCAAAATGTTATAAAAATAGAAGTTGTTTTTATTCTGATTAGGCAACAATTATCCCAATATAATCCAATCTCTTGTCTAATCCAAGTTTATTTAGTGGAAAGGTACCACAAATTGATTACGTTGTTGAAGAATTAACTCAAGGTTTGGAACTTGAAAAGTAATTCAAATTTTTATATAATTTTTGAAATATTTTAAGTTAGTAAGTATTACTATATCTGTTTATGTCTTCTAAATATTTGTTGAGAACTCAACCCAATCTGTTTGTCTTTTAAATATTTGAATCTTTATAATAATTTTTATGTAATTTATAGATAATATATATTATTTTTCATGTTTTAATTTATATGATATTAATAGAATTTTGAAAAAGGCAACTGTGCAGTTGGGGCAATAAGGTAATAAAAGAATATTTTAAGGAGCAACAATACTTTTAAGGAAGTCTTTAATAAATAAATAATGTTTGTAACAAATTTTAAATATATAAAAAATAAGTTAATCATAAATAAAATACATAGAAACAAGCATATTTTATTAATAAACTAATATGAGTACAAATTAATTTATCCTCTTAAGTCTTCTCTCATAATATTTTTCTGTTAATAAATTAATATGAGTACAAATTAATTTATCCTCTTGAGTCTTCTCTCATAATATTTTTCTGTTATTCGAGGGTCATTAGTGATGTATTTTTGTACTAGAATGATTTAGACTTGATCTTCATAATTTGAGGGTCATTAATGGTGTATTTCTCAAATTAGGATGATCTGAATTTAATCTCCATAATTTGAGAGCGTTAGTGACAAATTTCTCGAATTATGATGATTTGAACTTGATTTTCATATTCAAGGATCATTAATGACGTATTTCTCGAACTAGGATGATTTGGACTTAATCTTCATATATAATTCGAGACGGTTAGTAACGTATTTCTCGAACTAGGATGATTAACCATTAATGAAGTACTTTTCATATTAAGATGATTTAGATTGATCTTTTTATAAATATTTCATGAGTTTAATGAATTTGTGATGAAATCTTTTAGATCACTTTTCAAGAAAATATAATACATTTTATATCTGCATGAACAAGAGTTTAAAATCGAATATCTCTAAAAATCATAACTGAAATTAAACACGTCCAAAAGAGTTTCACTATTTTTCAACGTCCACAAATAAAGTTAGAGGTTTGTCAATGCAGTAACGGAATGACTCTTTTGTCATTACTTTTCATGATAAACTCAGCAATTGCCAAACAAGCAAGCCTGTTGATAAAACACACATGACACAACTGCTAACTGTGACTTGTATATTAGTCATATACTCCTTTTGAAAAAACATATCTAGGAGAGTCCAATATTTATTAAAATTAACATTATTATAGTTAATACTAGATAGAGGATTTTGTGTCAGCGCGGGACCTAATATATATTATTCTCTTTGTTCTTATTTTATGTCACCATTTTAACTTTCACGTGCATTAAGAAACTAATGAGTTTGCTATTCTATGTTTATTTTTTGATTATTTTTTTGTTAAATTTTTCAACAATAAAATATGAATTAATTTATTTAAAATAATTAATTTGACCAATGAATATGAACTATTTATTTAGTTTTTCTATGCTGATCAAATGTATATTTTCAAAGCTAATATTCATACGGACAAATAGAATATTGTAATTTATGCATTAATTTTATAAAAGTGACAACTATTATGGACTAACTAATTTATCATAAGGATGATAATTTAAAAAGTGACAGAGAGGGTAATTCTTTGTCTAAATTTATATAATATTATGGAACTTGAGAAATTATAAAAAACTTATATATGATTTTTAAAATGTTTTAAGTTATTAATTATTGTGATTTATATTATGTTTTTACATACTTTTAAAAATAATATATATTACTCTCTTTGTTTCGATTTATGTGGCATATGTAGAGTTTAAATAAATAAGCATTTTTTTTTATATTTCTTAAGTTGTTTATTATTGTATTTTATATTAACTTTTGACGTAATCTTTAAATAGGATATGTTATTTTTCATGTCCCAATTTATGTGGTATCAATTGATAGATTTTTTGGAGTCATGTTATTTTTTTTGTTAATTATCGTAATTTGTAGTATATTTTTTGTCAATTTTAAACAATATATATTTATCACCTAATCCATTTTATGTGGTACCAACGGAATTTCAAAAGTTAATTAAATTTTATTTATATCACTTTTAAATATTTAAGTTATTAATTATTGTAATTTACGGCATTACTTATATTATTTTAATACTCCTATTATTCTAATCTTTGTGGTATTAATAGAATTTAAAGTGTCAAACAATTATTAATTATGTGATATATAGTATTATTTTTATGTAATTTAAAATATATAATCCATTTTAAGTATATAAAACTTTTAATTATTTTCATATGTAGTAGTATTCCCTATGTTTCAAAAAGGATGTCCTAGTTTGATTTGGACGGAGTTTAAGAAAAGAAAGAAGACTTTTAATCTTATGGTTCTAAATTAAAGTTATTTCAAATATACCAAAATGTCCTTTAATCTTATGGTCTTAGAGCCCGTTTGGATGTCTTAAAAAAACGAATTTTAAAAAGCACTTTTGAAAATGCTGAAACTTATTTTAAAAATAAGTAGTTATGTGTTTGGATAAAAGTGTTTCAGTTGGAAAAAGTTGTTGATATGTTTGGCAAATAAGTGCTAGAACATTTTTTTAAAATCAAAATGTCTGAAATGCCCTTAAAATTGTTAACATGATAAAAAGTTGATTAATTTAAGGTTTTTATATTTAAAAATTTTAAATCAAAATTAATTTATATTTTACATTCATAAGTAACAATTTCCTATAATTCACATATTTCTTTATCATCACAATTTTTTTATAATTATGATTATAATTATAATAATAATAATAATAATAATAACAAAATAATAATAAAAAATAAAAATATAAATAATAATAACAATAATAATAATAATAATAAAAGAATTAAGGACAAAAAGATAATATACTTGGTCAACATAAAATGACTTTTAAGTTGAAAAAAAAACACCTCTCACCTAACTTTTAACTTTTGGCTTAAAATAAGTCATGTTTGACTTAAAATAAGTCACTTTGATAATTATCAAACACTCTAATAAGTCAAAAACTGACTTTTAATCTTTTAAGTCCATTCAAACAGACTTTTAAATATGTCACGTGGAAAGTTAAAGTTAAAGCGTTATAAAAAAAATCATTTGTTTTAAACTGACTAAAAAAATATGAACACTTTTTTTTAAACGGGGAGGGGAGTACTACTTTATATATTTAATAAAGTTAAAATATACCATAGCGTTGATCAGCCGACATGGTAAAGTCGATTGGCCCCAATGGATATATGTGTAATTATGAAGATGTTAGCTGGTTTGTTTGTCTAAAGTAGGAAAGGTACAATTATAAAGCAACAACATACAAAAGCTTTAATGAGCAAAAGCTTGCAAATATCAGAAATACCCTTGTCATACAAGCAGGCATGTTGACGGACACATTCCTGCTTGTAGATGCACTCATATATATAGCAGTAATAATTAGAATAAAGTTGTGCGTAATTTATTTGATGTTCTAATGAAATTTAAAATTTTCATTACTTAAAAGTATAGTAAATAATAGGGAAGATGTATTTAATAATAGTTAATTCTCTCCCAAAAATGAAGACCAAACCCTCATTGAAAAAGAGTTTAAATCAGAGTAATTTTCACATGTAGTAAATACAAGATTATATATGTGTGTTATATTTATAGTTTGCATAATTGCGCTTTATAGCAAATTTTATATTTGTTATGACTATTTCGCTGAACATATATACAAAAGAAGCAATTGTATAATTTGTCTCGGATACATATACAAGAGAATCAATTATATTATTTGTGTTTGTATAAAGCGAGAAAAAGAGAAAGACAAAAAAAACTGGGCAGGAAATATAATCATAAATGTATAGGACGAAAATATATATACATTTGTATTTATGTATGCAATTTTCTCTCGCTTTATACAAACACAATGCATAACATTTGTGTTTGTATAAAGAGAGAGGCGAGTGAGAGTGGCAAGTAAGATCTGGGAGAGAGAAATGAAAATATATGTATATATATAATTTTTTCTCTCGCTTTATACAAACACAAAATTATTTATATATCTTTGTGTTTGTATAAAAGCGAGAGAGGCGAGAGAGACTGCCAAACGAGAACGAGAGTGGTGAGCTAGATTCACTAAGGAGAGAGGTGAAATAACAACAATTTACTATTGGGTACAATTAAACCAAAGTATGATTATAACATTTAATTTTAATACTAGTTTGTTATTATATGCAATTTATATTCTTCATTTTTTAAACTTATATAATTTCTTTTTTCAATTATAAAAAAAGACATTATTTAGATTTAAAAACAATTTGATGCTACATATCTTATTTTATTAATATTTTGTACATTAAAAACTATAGTTATAAATCCGAATATATCAATACAAAAAATATTATTACTATTTAGAACGAAATTTACAAATATAAGAAAGAATGAAACATATGTATATTAATATATCAAATTACACCGCATAACTTTAAACGGAAAAAAAAGATAATTTTTAGTTAAACTACACTAAACAAATTTAAATAAAAGAATTATGTTTTTGTTTTTATGATCTTTTTTTATATATATATATATATAAC